TTTTTTTTTTTTTTTTTTTTAATTTCAAAGGAAAGGAAACAATCCCTTTTCCTCCAGTTTCTATCAGCATCTCTTTATAGATTTTTTTTTTGTTTTCTTTTTTTCTGGCTTGGAAACAGGAGTTAGATAAGGAAGGAGGGAAGGGAGCAAAAGAGGGAAGGGGGATAGAAACCAGAATTCAACAAAAGTTGGACGGGATTAACAGGGAGGCTTTTTGTTTCGTTTTATTTCTGGTTTTCCTTTTTTCTTAAAAAAAATTAAATAAAGTTCTCATTATTTCCCCAATATACATCAAATGAGTTTTCATGCAAAGCAGCAGTCACAGAGGCAGAACCGTGCCCAGCCTGTGCCTCTCAGCTTGAAGATCCGCCACCTCCGCGGTCCTGCTCCTCTCCTGATGGCCCCGGGGATGGGTGATGCCCATGGTCTCTCCCTGCAGGAGCCGCCTGTGAGGAAACTTGGCAGGCGTGGGGAGAGGGGCCCTCCCCTCTCCCTGGGATGGGGTCTCGGGGGGCAGCAAGCTCTGGGGTCTGATCCCCTTCACTTGTCCTTCCTTCTGAGACTCCCAGTGTGACAGCTTTCGTGGGTCCCTCTTCCCAGGAACGGGAGGCTCCATGTCTCAGCTCTCAATGGACATAGCATTTATAAGCTGTTCCACCTTGTATGCCAGCCGCTGGCGCCGGGCCTGCTCGTCCTGCTCTAGCGCCCCAATGAGCTGAGGAACAAAACAAAGGTGGGGAAGACTCAGACCCAGGACGCAGTAGAGAAGACGCCGCTTTCCGAATCCTTCCTCCTTCTATCTGTCTTTCCATTCTGCCCTGATGAACGTACATTAAATGATGTATATGATTGACTATATATGTATGTATGTATATGTGTTTATGAATGTTATATACATTTACATATGTATATGTTATGTATGTATGTAGTGACCCTTGAACAACACGAAGATTAGGGGTGCTGACCTCTGACACAGGATAAGATTCTCATATAATTACAGCCAGCCCTCTGCATGGATGATTCCCAAAAGCAGAGTTGAACCCCGCACAATACAGGTTTGACCTGTGCGGGTCAGCTGAACTATGGTCAATTGAAAAAAACCCATGTGTAAGTGGACTTGTACAATTCAAACCCGTATTGTTCAAGGGTCAACAATATTTCGCATACAGGAGGTGCTATGTACTAGCTATTATTATTATTATTATTATTACTAACACTACTTTCAGGTACAGTGCTAATGTGTGACTTGTGAATTTTCTGAAGCTGTTCTGTTTAACTTCTACTCATGTTAAGGTTCTCCTGTGTATCTGAAATATAACTGACAGGATGTGCCTAAGTGCAAAGAGGAGTCTGATTCATTGTTTAAGAAAGAATGAAATTAATCACAAGACACTTTCAACTGAAAAACAATGACATTATTAAAAGTTATTTACTGCATTAGCAATGAGTGAAAGACAAAGCAATGTGTAAGGGAGTGCTTGATGGGTCAGGAGAGTTTAGGCTGCCTTTTGAAGGAATGGGAATGATTTTTGAGCTCAGGGTTTTTGCCTCCATGAAGGTGTCTTCTAAATTCCCCTCTGATGGTGTTATTTAAGGACTCGGACAGGCATTCTGCTTGCTGTGAGTTGGTTTCTGTCCCTCCAGGGCCCCGTCTTACCTCTTCGCTGTACTTGCTGACGTAGGAGTAGATCTCATTGAGGGCACTCAGCATGTTGAACTCCACAGCGTGCAGGCGGGACTGCTCAGCGAGGTAGGCGTTCATGTCCTGGTCACTGATAGCGGGGAGCTTGGCGATGTCTGCATAGTATCTGCCGAAGAGAGACAAGCTCCTTGAGGGGAGCTCAGCAAATGTTTGCCTACACCTACCCTGACCCCAGGCCCCATTGTGAGGTGTCCCCATTCACTCATGCCTTCTTATTTCTCTTCAGATGTAGTTTCCTTTGGCCTTGTACCTCAGTCTGAGGTTGAGTGGAGACAGGTCTGCCCTAAGGCCAGGCTTCAACTAGCTTCAAGCTCCTTGCTGCAATGCCCCCAGAGTGGTTAAAAGCCCAGACTCTGACCAGACTCCTCGTATTCAAATCTCAGCTCTGCTATCTGCTGTTTGATCTTAGGCAAGTTATTTACCCTCTCTGTGCCTCTGTTTCCTTATCAGTGAAATGAGAATGATAGTAATACCTACTTCACAACCCTGTTGGATATTTTAATGAGATGGTACAGACAAAATCTTTATCACAGTGCTGGGTGCTTAGCATGTGCTCAATAAATGGTAATTAGGAAGATGATGTAACGGACAGGATGTGCCTAGGTGCAAAGAGGAGTATGATTCATTGTTTAAGAAAGGATGAAATTAATCATAAGACACTTTCAACTGAAAAACAATGACATTATTAAAAGTGTTATTTATTGCATTAGCAATGAGTGAAAGACAAAGCAATGTGTAAGGAAGTGCTCCATGACTCAGGAGAGGTCAAGCTGCCTCCAAGGCCACAAAGCTTCCCACCCCTCCCCAGCAGGAAGTGTAGACAAGGGAAAGTATGGGGACACGGATGAAGGTACCAAACACAGTTGTGAGTCCTGGGTCAGTGAAACCCGCAGGGTGGGGACTGGAGCAGGCAGACAGGGCATGGGCCTGTCCTCAGGGTGCTACTGACCTCTCCACCCAGCTCTTGTAGCTGGGAATGTCCTTGGCATACAGCAGCTTGTTGGAGGGGGAGTCCTTGCCCAGCCGGTGCTCTGAAGTTGAGCAAGAGTCCATGAAGGTCTGGGCTACCACGGAGAGGCAGGCGTCCGTGATGCTGCCCTTGTGGATGTCAAACACAAACTGGGGGTTCTTGATCACGTTCACCCAGAAGCGCAGAGGGAGGCTGGAGGAGAAGGCAGAGCAGGCTCTGAGGGCTGCCCCTCGGCCGCACCCCTGACTGACGCTCTCCACTAATATTCCTCCCGGCCCCCCAAATACAAAGTTCTCTATCCAAAGGGCAAGGAAATGAAGTCACAGAAAACTGGTCCAGCTAGGGCTGCAAATTTAGCTTAAGCTGTTCTTGATCCTGGGAGGAAAGGAGAGACGCCACTGTACCCTCATGGGGCGCTGACCCTGCTCTCTGACAACCGAGGGGTGGGCGAGGGGGGTTCTGGTCCCTCCTGGCAGCCTTTTCCAAAGGCCTCTGTGCCCCAGGGCAGCCCAAGTACAGAAAACTGCACAATTTTCTCAGGGTTTCAAACAAAGCCACCAGGCGCCTAGAGTCCCTTCACAGTGCCTGTGGCCATTGTCCAGAAGGCTGCAGCCGGCAGCCCGGGGCACGGCCTGGGAGAGGGCACAAAGGGCGCCACCTGTGCTCCTGGCCCAGCCCAGGCAGCTTCCCAGGGCAGGCCCTGCCCCCGTGGGCCGGGGAATGGGCTCCCCTGGGGGCAGTTCTTTCACTACTCTCCCAGGGGCTTTCCCCAGGGCGTTCATGTAGCTGGGCTGGGGGCAGGGGGAGAGAGGAGGGCATTGTGCTGGAAACGACCGGCTTATAGCTCCGTTTTTCCCACCCCGAGAGGAAACCGAGCAGTCCTTAGGAGAGTTCCTTCTGCAAAGTGGGAATTCATAATCAGAGCAGAATGCATTTTCTCCACGCCATAGGCCAGAAGGAGGGTAAGCCCATTTATTCCCCTTCAAAACCAGAACAGCTGCTGTTTTCCGGCCTTTTCCAACTTTGCCTTCTCCTCAGCTGCCTTTGGGGCCTTAACTCTTTTGGCTCCACTGGAGAGTGAGCTCTGTCCCCTGGCTTGTCCCTCTGGCTTGAGGTGATGTTCCAGCGATTCAGCCTACTTGTCCTCTCCTGTTCTTCATCTTCTCTTGACTTCGATGGACCCCAAACTTTCCTAAGTATCTCAGCCCTGCCAGGTTTTGGGAAAGATCTGATTTGCTCAGTCCAAGCCCTTCCATTAGGACTTTTGCTTGTCTTCCAAAATGCAAGGGGATCACTCACTTTCCTGTAACCTGGGAGGAGGTGCCTCAGCTGAGAGGTAACTCATCTCTTCCACCCTTCCCTTCCTGCAGCAGCTTGGGGGAGCCTCTGACATTCTTTCTTTGGACATTAGCTATAAGGGGACTCTCCTCACCACAGCAGGGTAGGGAATTTCTATGACTTGGGCCTGGCCAGCAACAGAAGGCACAAAGATGGGGATAATCCAGACTTTCCTTTTGATTCCCCTGAATCTGCCTACTCCCAGTGCTGGCTGGGATCCTTCAAA